CTGTATAAAAAGAATTTTCATATAATAATTATGTTCAAATTAATTATTCAATAAAATTAAGGACATGTTTGGATGTTGGCAGACTACTTTTGTGCATTCCACGTTTTCATAATTCTCTTCCACTACTATTAGACATTTCAGTTGCTTCCTATTTCTGCCAATTACCACGTTAATAAAATATCATCACACTATATAAAAAGGAAAATAATTGGTTCTGCAAAGTACAAAATTTAGCGTTCCGCAAGATTCAAAGAGGAATTTTTTGGGGGTATGACTATGAGAATGTGATTCGATTGGAGATCGGTGAGAACATGACTGAGCACATGTTTGATTAATATTTATAAATTATTTTTAATTAATTAAATTATTTTATTATTCACACTTTTTGTAGAACTTATAAGTACTATTCAATCATTCATCATTCAGTTATACCTATTTAGTAAACCATTTATTAACACTTTGTGAAGTTGGATAGGTACAGGTCTAATAGATGTGGAAATTATACAAATCCATGTGTTTAAAGATTGATTTTCAAAAATCAAGTTTAAAGTTTAATTATTCAAAAATCAAGTAATAATTTTACATTTTAATTAATATAAAAATATTATTAAACATAATATTAATAACCCTAATTTTATTAATTCCTTACTTCCTCCCTCTCGTCTCCTCCCTTCTCCCTCGTCTTTCTCACCTCCCCCTCCCCCTCGTATCTCTCTGTGAACGACTGCGTCGCGATGGGTGGTGGGTGTGTTTGTGCGCTCTATGTGTGTGTTGTGGGTGTGTGTGCAGTAGCAAAGTGGAGTTGTGGTGATGGTGTTGCGTCGGGGTGTGGTTGTGGTGTTGATGCTGATTGTAGGGGTGTTTGACCAATTGTGGTGAAAATGTGGTGTGTGATGAGTTCAGATCTGGTTGGTGGTGGTGGGTGTGTACTGTGGGTGCGGTGGTATTGGTGGCGTGGTGACGACACTGTCGGTGTGTGGTGTTTGACCAGTTGTGGAGCAAATGCGGTGTGTGGTGGGTTGGTAGGTTCAGATCTGGTTTGATGGTGGTGGTGATATTGGTGAGGTGGTGATGTTGTGGTTGTGGTTGTGGTGTTGTGTTGTTATTGTTGGTGGTGGTGGTGATGGTGATGGTGGTTGTAGCAGTGGCGATGGGATGAAGAGTGTTGTGACAACTATTTGGTTGATTTGTAACCAAGTATTGGTGGTGGATTTGGACGGGGGTTGGTTTTTTGGTATATGTGACCAACTATTTGATTCTCTGTGACTAATCGTTAAACCGTAACCTTAAAATTTGATAATTTGTGACAAAAAAAATTGAAAATATGTGACTGATAGATAAACTGTGACCTTTAAATTTTTTGATCAGCGACCAACGAAATAAAATGTGACTTATAAAATTTTTGATTTGTGATATCGAAATAATCCGTGACCAATTAATTTGATAATATGTGACCAATAAAAGTTGTGACCTATAATTATGTATATATGACCATTAATTATATATTATTATATTTAATTAATAAAAATATTCTAATTAATAAATAAATACCTGATTTTTGCATTTTTAAACTTAAAACCTGATTTTTGCATTTGTGAAAATTAAAGTCTCATTTATGATTGTTTCCCCTAGTAGATTAGCTTGATTATTAATGGGCTCGATCAAGAGTCCAAAATAAACTCGGTCGAGGGTAGTTCACGGGTCATGAGAATACATTGGGCCAACCCGTGCAGGCCATATATGAAAAGTTGAAAACATACAGTGTGAACTAATCACGGTTAGGTATACAGAATTCCTAAAAGTATTTAAAGGTACATAAAAGTTTTATAATCTTTCATTCTTCAAATAAAATATATTTGAATATGTGAAATTGTTGCTCTCCTAGGGACAAAAAAAATATTGTTTTAGGTAAATACATGATAAGGCTATATCTTGTGCTTATAACAATCAGAGTACACCTCAACGGCATATTATCTAGATAACTTGGATATCTTACAATAGTAAAAATATCGAAGAGCAAGCATATTTGATGATACTATTAACTCCAGTTATTAGGGACATTATTGATTTAACTGCTTAATTGGAATGAAAACTGTCATCAACGACACAAATTGTGACAATTAGTGGAAAGCTTCAAGATGGGAGCGTGAAAAAAACAAGTTAGGTACATATGCGCGATAGTAAATAGCATCGTAAAAATTTTGTGCAGATTTAATAAGTTTCCCTCTCAATTAGAAAAGAGTAAATAAGGCCCGTTAGGCACTGCTCCTTGTAGTGGAACTTTATGAGGAAACTGTCTTATGTCAATTTTCTTTAAAAATTCTTCAATTCAGACAAAATATTTCAAGAAATTATTCAAACATATTTAAAAATAACGTTTCAGCAAAGCTCCACCACGTGGACCATAGGAAATTATCTCAAAAGACATAAAAGAAGAAACAAGGTTGTCTCCTCATACTCATCACTCTCTTATCACGCCCTCGAAATGGGACTGAATTTCTCCCTCTAGATTTTACATTTTAGAAAAAGATAAAGTTGGTTGGGATGAGTGGGGGGCATCTTCTTTTCTTTTTAATTATTAAAGTGACTATCTTATTGGTCATCTAATGGGAGTAAAGAGTGAGAAATCTTTAGCTCACGCTCGTGTCAAGAGTCAATACATCACATCCAACTCACATTCCAAAGTTTTAATTTTTACAAATTGAATAGTGATTAATGTAGAGGGAATAACCCTTATAGGATGCTCTTAAATGTTATGGGTAGTATCTGTTCAATGAGTTTATAGCTTGATTAGCATATTTGATGGTTTTTAGAATTTTATTTTTTTACGAGAATAGATCGCTATACGTGTTAGTTGTTCAATAAAAATTCTTGATAATTGTTAAAGACAAGAAGTAAAATGAATATATGTTTGTCTCATCTCTAAAACCTAAACTTTTAGATAAAACTATTAGAATGACATCAGAGCCGCCTGGTTCAACTCTCCTCGTCGCCTTGTGCATCAGATAAAAAAATAAATTCGATTTATACGTGAAGGGAAGTATCGCAAACAAGATATGAGTGATTTGTCTCACCTTTAACGATAATCTGCTGATAAAATAAAAAGGAAAAATATATATGTAAAGACAGCAAACAATGATCCATAGGCCTCCTGATGATCTTGTTTTTCGACTATAGTCATTGTAGGGCCATTAGATTATCATCGATCTCTAAACTTTAATCTTGAGATTCTTACCTTCTTATCAGTATGTACTTTAAAGTAAATACATTTTGGGATTTTATTGAATGGCCAAACTCAGGGAATGTTTGATTCCCTCATTTCTCTTGCCAATTTATCAATATAAAATTGTGTACATGCATATGTGCCAAGTTTTTAATTTCAAGCATATGAAAAACTGACTCATATAAAGTTCAAAGAGAAAATGACAAATCTCCAAGCAATATAATGACTAGTGATTAAATGTCCCATGAAAATATTTGGTTTTTATTGTTTGGAAAAAACTGAAATAGTTTGAATGGGGAAATAGCCCTCATTTTTTAAGGAAAATTTTTAATATTTAAAAACTTTTGTTTTAAGAGTTGCACCTATATATTTTTGTGAAATTATTCTTGTATTTTCGTAATCAATTGTGACATTTTGAAAGGTTGTCACTTTTTATGAATGATGACGGTGCCAAGTCCTTTCAAATGAAATTTGTTTAACTATGTGAGGCAATTGCTCGAAGACATTCAGTGTTAATAAAAATATTTTAAGGATATAGCGTGGAACGCTAGGTTCAGATTCAATAAAATTTGTGCTATAAGTTAAAATTATTATTTTTTTATTATTTCGATAACTATGCATGTTCATCTATATGATTAGATATTGTAATATACTCTCGATTAGGGTGATATTATTGTTTGATTTGAATGATTTTTGAACTATTTTCATATCAAGCCAATGCCATTTTAAATAGTTTAGAAATTTTTTAAACAAAATCAAATAATTTCATTTTTGAAATCAAACCAAATCATTTATTTTCTTGTGGTTCGATTTGATCTCATACCACGGTTTTAGCGATATAAAAATAATATCTTCAAACAAGTGAAAAATAGTATTAAAAACCTTCTAAATATAAGCGTTGTAATACAAATATATTTGTCTCGATACATGTTTAAACCAATAAATCAATATAACCATAAAATCCGAGCTTGCAAATTCATTCTTCTTGAAATAATAAGAAAATATTATCACAAATTATTATTTCTCTAAAAAGTCAATAAAACCCTCTATCAAGTAAATTATTGAATTTTTTGACGTACAAATTGAACTAATAAATAATATATTTTGCAAAACAATTAAAGTTTCTTAAAAATTGGGTGAAAGAGGTTTTCTTTTAGTGGGTTTTAACAATCGAAATTTAAACAAAAAGTATTTTCAAAAAATTTCGTTCGATTTTGAAATGGTTGAAACCTTAACTAGAACCCAAATAATTCATTTTACAATCGTAATTTCATTTGGGGTGGCCGATTCACCATGTTTCCTTTCACCCCTACTTTCGGTATAGCATGAACAACATTTTTATTATGTTTGGGCATTATTGTAGTATATCACTACTTGTTTTTTTGTCTTGATCAATTGCTCAGAATTTGAATTGTCACAACTTGGAATTTTGCATGATTTACACAATTACACGCCAGAAATATTCCTTTTTATCTCCTTTAAGAATTTATCCATATTTAGCTAATATTTTAGTCTGTAAAATATTCTTTTCTTGACAAGCTCCTGACCCAGTGACAGGCACGCTTGTTCTCTTTATACAAGAAATAACTGAATAACTTTACTTAGACTGGCAAACTGGAAAAAAAGCAAAAAAATCAGTTTCTAGCAATGGAAAGCAAGAAATTAAAATGCAGAGAAGAAACTGACTAGAAATCTTGTCCACAGAACACTTCCATTGATACAATTAAGCAAGGTTTTTTAGTCTGTGATTTGTTTTTTTGGTGTATAATCAATAGAAATGGCAAGAAAGGGAGAGACATTTTGGATTTTCACATTTTTCTGCTTCTGGAGCTGTGCAACCTGTTTGCTTTCTTCTACAGGTGTAAACTTTGAAGGTAATAATGATTGTTTTTTTTTTCGTCTCAATAGTAAGATGGTCTAATGATGTATTTTCTTATAGTTAAAAGTTTTCTCATGGGTTTTTTTTTCTGTAATCAGTCCAAGCTTTAATGGGTATAAAAGCTGGTTTGAAAGATCCTCATGGTGTTCTTGATAATTGGGATGGTGTGTCTGTTGATCCATGTAGCTGGACTATGGTCACTTGTTCAGCTGAAAGTCTTGTTATTGGCCTGTAAGTCAAGTCTTGTGCCAAATCAAAACCAATTCTTTAACTCCATATATGTAACATTTTAGATTCATTTGAGATATCTTCAACAATTAAATGAATTAAGAAAGATTAAGTACATTAATTTGGTTGATAGATTGCCTTATGCAGAGGGACTCCAAGTCAGAATTTGTTTGGTTCTCTATCTCCAAGCATTGGGAATTTAAAAAATCTTCAATTTATGTAAGTAGAAAATTTGATTAAATATAATGGTTCATAAATTTTGCATATTATGTTGCTGGTTTGATGAATGAAATGTTTTGCAGCCTATTACAGAACAACAACATAACAGGACCAATCCCAGCAGAACTTGGAAAACTCTCAAAGCTCCAGACTCTTGATCTTTCAGATAACTTCTTCACTGGAAGTATTCCTCCTCCACTGGGGCACTTGAAAACCCTTCAGTATATGTAAGCATCAAAGTTTAAACTACTAAAAGGACTTAACGACACGTTGGGTACGGTGAACTGGACAAACAATATTAAAGATGGAAAAAAAAGAAGTTAAAATTCTTGTTCATTGTCACATGCAGTGCTTACCAAACATTCCCTAATAGGATGTTTGGTAGGGAGGATTGAATAACATCATAATATTGTTCGGTCCACTTTAGTATTGCCTATCAAACATGCCATGAAGTTACTGCTCTCTTAATCTCAAGTGGCGTATTTTTCTGAATTAGGAGGCTTAACAATAACAGTCTATCAGGAGAGATTCCAATGTCTTTAGCCAACATGACGCAGCTCTCTCTCGTGTAATTTTTCTTTGGCCTTTAACATGGACAACTGAATTTTGGTTCAAGTTTTTGATGAAATGTTCATGTCAAGAGCATTTTTGAAATTCTTTATGTTCGTTTATTTTTAGGGACTTGTCTTTCAATAACTTGACGGGCCCTTTACCCAGGTTCCCCTCCAAGACTTTAAAGTAAGCTACTAGTTCACAGTTTTACAATTCCATCAAATTGTGTTTTGTAAGGAACTAGGATTGCTAAATTTCTATCAACGCCATTCTTTTACTGTCATTGCAGTATTGTTGGCAACCCATCAGTATGCCCAACAGGTTCAGAGCCACCGTGCCATGGAGTAACATTGATTCCAATGTCCATGACCTTGAACACTTCAGAAAGTATGGGAAAACACATTGTCGATATTTTCTTATATTCTGAACTATATTAGAGTTTTTAACTGAATTGCTCAGTTCAAATTTTTGTGTACATGATTCTGATTATCCTGACTTTGTTCTCCATGCTTCCAGTAGCTTCTCTACCTTCTGGGAGACGAAAAAGTCACAATTTTGCACTTGCCCTTAGTTCAAGCATTGGGTGCATTGGTATGCTTATTCTTGGATTCGGGCTGTTTCTGTGGACGAGAAAATGGCGAAAACAGCAGAAATATTTTGATGTTGAAGGTTTGAGAAAGATATTGGAAGTTGACTGATACATAAGCAATATATTATTTCTTCATGTTGTGTATTAATATCTTTGTTGGTAATTTCAGATGGGCATCACGAAGAAATTTCTCTTGGAAATTTGAGGAGGTTTCGACTTAGGGAACTTCAGATAGCAACCAACAACTTCAGCAGTAAAAACCTTCTGGGAAAAGGTGGGTTTGGAAATGTCTACAAGGGGTATCTTCTAGATGGGACTGCCGTGGCTGTAAAGTGGCTGAAAGACAGCAGTGCCGTTGGAGGGGAGAGACAGTTTCAAACAGAAGTTGAGATGATCAGCCTAGCAGTGCACCGGAACCTTCTTAGGCTATATGGGTTCTGTATGACCTCTACAGAAAAGCTTTTGGTGTACCCATATATGTCTAATGGAAGTGTTGCTTCTCGACTCAAAGGTAATATACTGAACGAGTTTTGGACATTCTGCTGCAATTCTAGAATCATCTTGTTGGACTGCGTGGGGTCTGATTATATTGTTCACTTCTCCCCTCAACCATGGATTGTTTTAGTATAGGGGTATATTCAGCATTCAAATCTCTGCATTAGATTGACTTAGTTTCTTACGCTATATAAAGGAATGTGAGGGAGCAATATGTCTGTAAGATGATGCAAGGGAAAAATCTTAAGTCTCGTTTATTGAATTGAAATTCTATTGTGAAGTTGACGTAGCTTTGATATTGAGAGTGAACCTCCACAAATCTATGTCTGTGTGTATATTTCTCTTTCCCGTTTCCTCCATTATTGATCTCATTATTGCTCTCTCGGCATTGTGTCCCTAACACATTCAACATGAACAGCAAAGCCAGTCTTGGACTGGGGCACGAGAAAGCAAATTGCATTAGGAGCTGCAAGGGGACTGTTATATCTCCATGAGCAATGTGATCCCAAGATAATTCATAGGGATGTTAAGGCTGCAAATATACTGCTTGATGACTATTGTGAAGCAGTGGTGGGTGATTTCGGATTAGCAAAGCTTTTGGATCACCAGGATTCACACGTTACGACTGCAGTACGGGGCACTGTAGGGCATATAGCCCCTGAGTATCTGTCAACCGGCCAGTCCTCTGAGAAAACAGATGTTTTTGGATTTGGGGTCCTTCTACTTGAACTGACCACAGGTCAAAGAGCTCTTGAATTTGGCAAAGCAGCTAATCAGAAAGTAGCAATGCTTGATTGGGTGGGCACACAATCCCTTTATTGTTTTCTAATTTTCATTTAATATCAAATTTTGATGTTGCTTATAGCTCATCTCCTGATAAATTTGCTTATGTCCAATAAATTTACCTGATGCTAAATTATGTCTCAGGTGAAGAAACTTCATCAAGAAAAGAGACTTAATTTGCTCGTCGATAAAGATTTGAAAAACAAGTGCGATCTGATAGAGCTAGAGGAAATAGTTCAAGTGGCTCTCTTATGCACTCAATATCTTCCAAGCTATAGACCCAAGATGTCGGAAGTGGTTCGAATGCTTGAAGGCGATGGACTTGTTGAAAGATGGGAAGCTTCTCAGAGAGCAGAAGCGAGCAAGAATAAAACACAAGAGCTCATCTTATCAGAACGCTATTCAGACCTCACAAACGATTCTTCATTACTCGTACAAGCCATAGAGCTCTCCGGTCCAAGGTAAGACAACTGTATACGCTCTACAGTTCGCGATCCAGGGTTAGAATTCGGAAAGGAGAAGTCCGTAGTTAAAACTGTCGACAAAAATCGCATGTCATTATTATTAATTTTTGTCACAGTGAGTCATCAAAGTTTCAAAGGGATTTGATTTTTTTTTTCTCACTGTATAGAGTCACATTTTTTTTTCCTGAAAAACTATTTTCTCGCTGGATAATACTGATGCTCGAAGTGTATTTAAAGTTCGATGCCTGCACGACTACGTATTAGAAGGGACATTCACAATCTAGCAATTTTTAGTTATAAAGAATGCTGAGAATTGAAGTAAGAACTCGAACCAAAAAGAAAGTGGCGATTCAGGATTAGAGTTCAGCTAGGGCAGACCTTGACCATTGATCGTCGACATTCAACTATCGTAATAACGATGGCGTTTATTAATATTTAAGTAAATAATATTAAAAAAATCTTCAATATATATATAAATATACGAAATCGTAAAAATCATATACATATAAAAATAAAATTCAATACAACCCAAAAATAATATTAATAATTCTACTTTCTTCTCTCACAGACAAACCACAGTCCACAGTCTCACTTAGTCACTCAATATCGTTCTTCTAAATTCTACACATTATTAACACATTATTCTTCTACTTTCTTCTTTCACAAAGTCATAGTCATAATAACTAATAGTTTAATAACTCGTAAGCTAACATACCAAAAAATAATAATAATAACAAATAAATAAAAATAGGCTGCCAGATTTACCAGTTACCTCTATAGTTAGAGACAGAGAGCTGAAGACAGTGATGTTCTGGCGAAGAAGGGGCCAGTGTCAGAGCTCGTCGGTGGCGACAACAATCACAACGTCAGTGTTCGGTTGTTCATAAGGTTCACAATAGCAGCCTCGTTCGCAGGGAAGAACAAAGGTTTGCAAATTGCAAATGAAATCGTTTTTTTCAATTTGTCATTTGGTTGAAGTTGAGCTACAACCATTACAAATGGTATCTGAGCAGCTACGTGAACTGGGTACATCAGAAACTAGAAGCAAATCAAATGAGGAGCACCTTAAGGGGTTGGACAAGGAAATATCAAATTTTGGGAGTGGTCTTTAAAAAAAAATGACCAGATGCTACAAGGGTTTTGTATTATATAGGGTTGTCCTGGGTCGATTCGGTTCGGTTCTCGACCCAAAAATTTCGGGTATTTAATAAATGGACCCGTCGGGTCCAAATATAATTATGGAACCGTTCGGGTTCGGTTCGATTCGGTTCGGTTCGATTCAATTCGGTTCCGTTCGGTTCTATACCATAATTAAATTTTTTAACATTTACAGCAGCTCTACATAAATATAACTAATGACATTTCATTAGTAACTTTTATAAATTAACGTAGGCCAATTNTCTCACTTAGTCACTCAATATCGTTCTTCTAAATTCTACACATTATTAACACATTATTCTTCTACTTTCTTCTCCCACAGAGTCACAGTCATAATAGCTAATAGTTTAATAACTCATAAGCTAACATACCAAAAAAAAATAATAATAAATAAATAAACATAGGCTTTCGGATTTACCAGTTACCACTATAGTTAGAGACAAAGAGCTGAAGACAGTGGTGGTCTGGCGAAGAAGGAGAGGCCAGTGTCAGAGCTCGTTGGTGGCGACAACAATCACAACGTCAGTGTTCAGTTGTTCGTAAGGTTCGCAATAGCAGCCTCGTTCGCAGGGAAGAATGAGGGTTTGCAAATTGCAAATGAAATCGTTTTTTACAATTTGTCATTTGGTTGAAGTTGAGCTACAGCCATGACAAATGGTATGCAGCTACGTGAATTGGGTACGGCAAAAACTAGAAGCAAATCAAATGAGGAGCACCTTAAGGAGTTGGACAAGGAAATATCAAATTTGGGAGTGGTCTTTAAAAAAAAAATGACCAGATGCTACAAGGTGTTTGTACTAAGACAAGATCGGATGGAACAAATGATGATGAAGGCTACACATGAGTCAATGGTGTGCTATCGTAGGCACCCAAAAATAATCCTTAAACCTCTAAAACTAATGTAGTAATGGAAGTAAGGGTCGATCCCACGAAGAGTGTGTAATTCAATATTTTATGCTTCGTACAATGATTGGGGGGATTTTGTATTCAACAATTGTAAATAACATAATCAATAACAATGAAAATTAAATTAACGAAATCAATCAAATAACTAACCTTGGTCTAAGTCCACATCCACCATCGGAAATCCACAATTGATCATAGATACAAGGATAATTCAATTCATATTTCGAATATTCATCGTTGGAATTGATTCCTATTTCTCCTTAATTTTAGTTAATTAGAAAC